TTTTACTAACCATTTTCCAAGATCCGGCGTCAACGTAGTAGTTGAAACGTCGATGAACTCGACCGGGTTGGCACGAGAATAATCAGGCGAATTACATTGTGTACTCTCGCCCACTTCAACATGTTTCCGATACGTCGTAAGCGTCTGACCCGAACCGACCTCATAAACCCGGTCCAAGAAATAGACAAGGGGTCTCTCGCACGGATCTTCACTGATGGGTCGGGTATCAAACGAGAAAGGCTCAGAGCTCGAAGTCCGCCACGACTTGAACGTAAGAAATGGCGTCTCAAGCTCTTTAGCGGTGACCAAAGTTGGATAAATTTGGATGGTATAGCCCCATGAAACGGACACATACCAATTACGGGTCTGGTCATGGCAGAAGCTGTGCTGCAGGATCCGGCTTGGATCCGTCTTATAGGCCGATACGAGTCTTCTTAAGGCGTCTATTTGAGTCGTCCCCGGAAATATTGGATCAACATAGTCGAGATGGTGGAGCGTAACCAGAGGAGCCACCGGATGGGCAGCTAGTAAACCGTATGGATTGCCACGTATGTCAACCTGGATTTTACCATGCAAAGAAAAATAATTAAATCCCGATCTTATAATTAGAAATGTCACTTAGTTAGTTATATAGTTACACCAAGACTAAAAATTTAAAATTTCACATAGTAAGAAGTAAATCGTTGATAAAAACAGGACACCGAAATCTGAGCATTGAAGCGTCTAAACATTTTTTTTTTTTTTTGATAATTATTTTAATCTTAAATCTGGCAAGGGATAAAAATTTTGAACGATTTGAAATTTAAAACTGAATATTCAAAATTTCAAATAAAAGGAAATTCAGTATTTGCAGCTAAAAACTAGAAACCAATTAATAGTAAATTTCCATTTATTGATTAGGTCAAAATAAGTGAATTTCCAGTAATCATGAGAAAAACAAAAAGGAAAATGTGAATATACCTGATGGAACCCTAGTTCCTTGGTCAGGGGAACTCCAATCTCGCTTAAACAAGCTTCAATCTTTTGATCAGATCCATATAACGATGCGTAACGATCAATACAACCATCGAGTAACTTTACAAGCTCGACGGCCAATGGATAGCTAATTGCTATTCCTCCACCACCGTAAGCCATGGCGTAAGAGTGAACAATGTCTTGTTCCACACTCTCGGAATTTCCTCCGATGTAATACATTTGATTGTGATCATACTTATTTAGAACCGTTATAAGATTATCCACAAAGAAAACGGTGTCGTCGTCACCCATTATGAACCATCTCACGTCCGTTAACCCTAGCTCAAAAGTCTCTTTGATAATTCTCGCCATTCGTATAGCTGATCTTGAACCATACCTTAAAACAAAAAGTGGAAATCGAATGAATAAAATTATAGGTTTTGTGTGGTTAGGTATTCATCCAAATACATTTTCACAATGGTTAAACATTGACCCTTGACTTAACTTGACTAAGATCATCTCGTTGAAATAATGATGTTATAGAAGTAGAAATAGTTTGTACCAGCAAGTGTAACTGAACCGGGAGGTATCCGCCGAGACTTGGTACGGTGGAGAAGTTGAGAGCCATGTCATATTAAGAGGCGGTTCTTCGTCAAGCCATATGAAGCCGCGTGTGACGTTGGGACGCCACCAGAGCTCGGAGTAGCGGCTGCGATCTCTCCACGTTTGAATGGAGCCACCTATCCCGAAAGCTATGTGGGAGATATCAGTAGCCTCCGAGGACTGATTCGGCCGGCGGATAGTCGAGGAGGAGGCTGAGGAGTTGGTAGTTAAGTTTACATTTTCAGGACCTAAGCGACGGAGGCCGGTGATGTGGTGGCAATCGGAGCAACCGAAGAAGATTATGTAGAAGGAGATCATAGCAACGGAGATGAAGATGCATATGGTGAAGAAGAACTTAGCGACGAGGGAAAGAACATGGCTTGGTTTTACAGTTGTTGCCGGAAAAATCGACGGCGGCTTATGGTGGAGCTTAAACGGATCGAAGATGGCCATTTTTTTTTTTTTTGATGTTTATGGTCTGTGGAACTTTATTTTGTACAAATATGTTACGACTGTACGAATAGGGTTTAGTGGAAATAAAATTGACAT